TCTCTTTCTGTATTCTATTCTCTATCATGATTGTATGCACATATCTGTCATGAGTTAGCTTAGCTGGACTTCTTTGTGCTGTTATTTTTTTAATGATGCCAAAAATGGGAAAATAATACTCAGGGGGAACCATTGTTGTTACGATAAGGCATAGTCTTAGGGGGAACTTTGTGTTCCTCTGATACTTAAATTGGTTTTTACTACTCTAACTCAACTCTATAAATGTTAAGTTTGTCATCATCAAAAAGGGGGAAATTGATAGATTTTAAATATTCTTGCCTTATGTTTTGATGATCTAACAAACTTACTGTTAAGAACCAGATAGGGAACCTGACCTACTTAGACTACTGCAAGCTTTAACGGATTCCAGCTAAAGGTGAACTGCTACAGCTTCAGGAGCTAGGAACCCACACAAGGACCTTATACTCTTATGGTTTTCTCATAGTAGTACAAAGTCAATTGGACACAGCTGGAAATGAAGTGACTGACGTCACTGTTTCTGCCGCACTACACTGTCTCCAGCGCCCACTCATTCTCTAACCAAATAAAGTACTCACGTCATTTCAAGTGATGCGATCAAGATGTACCTACAATGAGTNTAGGTTCTTTACAAGTTAGTGAAGTTAAAAGCCTACAGGTGTAGGTCATGGTTTTTTGATCCCCCTGTGTGGAATTTTTCCACGTAAAAATCCTCTGCCTTTTTTACATACTGTTTTATTAACATTCTCAGCAGAATCTTGTAGAGGACCAGGTACTCTACGGTTTGGTGGACTTATATAAACTAACACATTCTTTCTCCGAGATCGAGTCTGATCCATCGGGCTCGAACCCGATCTCTCCCTCGAGCCTATAAATCGAAGGCATATGAGTTTGATCGTATATACACACTCTCAATCAATTTTTAACACAGATCTTCTTAGCATCAAGTTAATAGGTAAAAAAAATTAAATCATATACAAATAAGTTAAAATAGTTTAAGAAAAAAATATAGGCTAAAATTAATTGAGGAATAGCCTGTTTGGCCAAGCTGCTAAAATAAGTTTATTTTGTGAGGTGCTTTGTCTCAAAAGTACTTTTGGTGAGAAGTAATTTGTGTTTGGCTAATTAATTTAAAAAGGACTTCTGAGAAGCAATTATTGTTTGGCCAAACTTTTAAAAACTGCTTCTAAGTTTATTTTTCTCAAAGATACTTTTCAAAAAAGTGCTTTTGGGGAGAAGCTACTTTTTTCTGCTTCTCCAAAATTACTTCTGCTTCTCTTCAAAAATACTTTTTTTCATTCCAAAAGCTTGGCCAAACACCTCAATTTTTGGAAAAAAAGTATTTTTGGCCCAAAAAAAGTTTGGCCGAACTGACTAGAAGTGGTATTTGGGCTTTTAAAATGCTAAAAGTAAGAGGACAAGTGGACAACAGTCCAATGTCAAAAGCCCCTATACTCGGGGAAAAATTGTTAAAATAGCACGATCTAGCCAGTTTTCGGACTGGTCATTCAAAAATATCCAGCATTTGCCAAGTCATTGAACAATAACCACCATTTTGCTGCAACAGAGACCGGTCCAACATAATATACTGGAGTTCGGTGCACCTGTGTATGAACTTCCAGCATATTATGCTAGACCGGTATACTTTGCTTGTTCCAGTATAATATACTGGAGACTGGAACACCGGTGCTCCAAACTCCAGTATATTATGTTGGACTGATATATATACTGGAACTATAACGACTCGACCAGTCATTTTGAGCTTTTGCACTTGATCGCCAGTTCTCGGGCATACTTGCCCCGTGTAATGTATTATGACTGATGTCTCGTTGGTTTTGGTTTTCAGGAAAAATCGGAATGAATTTGAAAGAATAGTCTCAGATGAAAGCTTTGAATTTGAAAGGTTTGACCAAGAATTGACTTATTTGTATATGAGCTCAGAATGGAATTTTTATGATTTGGTTAGCTTTGTTGGGTGATTTATGACTTAGGAGCGTGATCGAAATTGATTTTGGAGGTCCGTAGTAGAATTAGGCTTGAATTGGCGAAGTTGAGATTTTGGCGATTTCCGGTTGGTAGGTGAGATTTTGATTCGGGGGTCGGAATGGAATTCCGAGAGTTGTTGTAGCTTCGTTATGTCATTTGGGATGTGTGTGCAAAATTTCAGGTCATTCGGAGGTGGTTTGGTTAGGTTTTTGATCGAAAGCGTATTTCGGAAGTTTTAGAAAACTTAGGCTTGAATTCGATGTGAATTGGTGTATTTGGTATTGTTTGAGGTGTTCTGATGATTGGAACAAGTTTGAACGAGGTTTTAGGATGTGTTGATGACTTTGGTTGAGGTCCCGGGGGCCTTGGGTGAGTTTCAGGTGGTCAATCGGACCATTTTGGAGTTTGGGAAATTCCAGAAAATGTAGGTTCAGTGTTGTAGAGATTTATCTCTTCGCGTTCGCGAGGGGGTCCTCGCGTTCGCGAAGAAGGAATTGTGGAAGGCCAAGTTTAAGCCTTCGCATTCGCGAGTGGAGCTTCGCGTTCGTGGAGGGTTGGCAGGTTGGGCATCGTGTTCGCGAGAGGGTACTCGCGATCGCGTAGTGTAATTTGAGATCAAGACTTTTTTGTTCATCGCGTTAGCGTAAGGGGTTCGCGTTCGCGAAGGTATAGGAGGAAGAAGCATCGCGTTCACAATGGGTGAGTCGCGTTTGCGAAGAGGAAAAGTTGGTCAACGCAAAGTTGTGCTTCACGAACGCAAGAGGTTGATCGCGTTCGCGAAGAAGGGGGAGCAGACCTGGGCAGAAAGTTTTTAAGTTATTTCATCCGCGATTTTGGGGCTCATTTACCCCTTGTTGATCATTTTGAGAGCTTCTTGGTGGAGATTAAACAGGTATTCAAAGGGAATCGATTGGAGGTAAGATTTTTGAACTTAAAACTCGTTTCTATTATGAAATCTACCTAGAAATTCATGGAAACTTAAGTTAAAAGTGGAAGAACTAGGGCTTGGGATTTTGAATCTTTGATTGGGGATTTGGAGGACCATTTGGGGTCGGATTTGAGAACTTTTGATATGTATGAACTCGTGGGAGGATAAGGAACCCGTTGATGTGAAAATTTCTGAGTTTCGAGAAGTGGGCTCGGGGCCCGGGTTTTGGTAATTTCGGGATTTGTGACCTATATTGATTGTTTTCGCTTGGGCTTTGTTCCCTTAGCATATTGTGATCTATTCGTTCTGATTTTGGATAGATTCGACGCGCGTGGAGTCCAATTTAAGGGGCAAAGGCGTCGCGACTAGAGATTTCATTGGTTCGAGGTGAGTAATGATTGTAAATGATACTCTGAGGGTTTGAAACCCTGGATTGCACATCGTAGTGCTATATTGAGGTGAGACACGTGCTTGATGATGAGCGTGGGGTCGTTTACTATTGGAGATTGTGACTTGGTCCGTCCCGATTGATGATTTTACCGCGTATTTGACTGAAACTTATTTGTTATCATCATGATTTGGGCTGATCGCCATATTTGGGCTTCGTGCCAACTATCTGAACCCTTCGGGGATTTTTATCACTATTTCCTCACTGTTTTTGAATTATTACTTGAAGTTAGTCCTGTTGATATCTACTATTTTACAAACTCAGCCACTTTTACTCAGATTTGAAACTTAAACGATATTTCTAAATGATGTTTTGGGATGAGAACTATTGTTTTACTAATGCCCGAGGGACTTGTGATGATTTTTGGACTGAGTGAGGCCGAGGGCCATATGTGAGGATATATTGAGTGATATGAGGCCGATGGCCTGAGATACTTTTATACGCCACGAGGTGGCTTGAGTGATATGAGGCCGAGGGACTAGATTTGATGCCACAAGATGGCTTGATATTGCGCTTGGACCGTAAGGGGCCCCTCCCGGAGTCTGCACACCTCCAGTGAGCGCGGGTACCCATTGTGATCACAGAGTGAGTCCGAAGGGCTGAGAGTGTTCTGAGAGTGAGCCCGAGGGGCTGGTACTGTTCTATGTGTTTACTTTATTTCCGTTTGTCTGCAATTACCTGTTGATTGTGTTACTTTATGTGTTATCTTCCTGATTGCCTGACATTACCTATTAAATTGAGTGTTGAGCCCGAGGGGCGAATTTCTGTGCTTATCTACACTAATTATTTTGCATTCATTTGCATAACTATTGAAAAAGTCATTTTCAACAGAGGTTTAAACTGAGCTAAGATATTGCTAAAGATTTCGCTGCTTCACTATTTTTCTCAAGGGTTTTACACCGCTTTTATACAGCATGTTGCTTTGCTTTACGTGATTTTTTACTACTTAGTTGTTATTTACCTTTATTACTCACTGAGTTGGAGTACTCACTTTACTCCCTGCATCTTGTGTGCATATGCAGGTATTTATTCACCCGGTAGCGGGTGTTGAGCTGATCGGAGGCTGAGTCATCGGAGTTTAGCAAGGTGGTTGCCAGCGTTCGCAGCACCGCTCTTCTCCCTTCTCTTTCATCAGTCCTGTTTTGTACATTCAGACCTTGTAGTCGTATTTATACTCTAATAGATGGTCGTGACTTGTGACACCCCGGTTTGAGCTGTGTCGGGATGGTTTCTATTGTTGTTATCGTTATTTCCGCAAATTATGGTTATTATATCATGTTTTAGAATTACTTATGGTATTTAACTGTTTAAAAGAGGTGGTCTGTTTTGGTCTAGCTGGCCTTGTCTTCATGAGAGGCGCCATCACAACCGGGTTCGGGGTTAGGGTCGTGACAGGAACTCCAGTAAATTAGACTGGAGTTCGAGTATATTATGCTGGAGTTCCAGTATATTATACTGGAGTATTTTTCCGGATTTTGAACAACGTTTTTGTTCAAATTTATCTTTACATGAAAAGTGACTAAATTTCGATTACTTTTGAAACTGTGACTATTTTTGAGTGACCACTTGTAAATCTGGCTATTTTTGAATTTCTCCAAAAAATTGAATATACTCGATTAAACTTACATCAACATATATCTAGGAAAAAAAAAATAGAAACCGGAAAAGCAAAAACCCTAAAGCGACTAAACCCCTCCCCCAAGCTTTCGTACCCTTTTTTCTGGCTCCTCTCCTCTTAACTTTCTAGACGGTTTATTGTATCTCCGTCGTTTAGAACAGGTAATCAGATATTTCTCTCAATTCTCCATTTTCTTAACTTCATATATGCTCCATTTATTTCTTCGTATAGTTTTGCTTTTGACCTGACTGAAGTTGAATTTTCCTTCCACCGCTTCATTTATAGGTTTTATCGGCTCTTAAATTACTGTTTTCGTGCTACACTGAGGAATTTTAGCTAATAGTTAACTTGAATAAGGCTATGTTATTATGCTTCCGTGTCTTAAGTAAATGGATCTAGGGTAATCTTCACCAAGTGAGCTAGCTTTTGAGGTTTAGGTATTTTGGTTCAATTTGTCAGAAATTTGTTAGAGGAGGTGTGTGCTTAAATAGCTGATTAGAATTGTAATTTCCTAATTAAGTTGCAGCGTGTAATGAGATATTTTCTATTTCATCTCTCCACTGTTTGTCTTCTTAGTCGTTAAGTCTTTAGCTCTTCATTGTTTAGGTCAAGCTAGTTAACATTTAGCATTCAAAAGAAATTCGGACAGAATAGAGTCAAATGGTTACAGATGATTCATCTAGCCAATCCTGACTACAACGGAGTTGATTATAGTTGATTGATTGACAAATTGATTGTATTATTTGCTAATTGCATTTTTTGATGTAGGAGCTATTGTAACTGAGCATTTCTGGATCTCTTTATTTGAGACTTTTTTTTTCTTCTTGATTGGTGTTTGCTAGCTTTGCTGATGATGTTAGATTTTAGGAATATTATTTTACTTCTGCAAAATATAGTTTGCCAGTTACCTAGTTAAGATAAGATTATTTAAATAGCATAATTGCTAACCATCTGAATGTATAGTAAATATTTCTTGTCATTTTTTCCGTCTCCCTGCATTTTATGCCTTAGGAATTTACATCTAAGATTTTTCATAATCTGTAGAGGCATATAGTGTACATAGAAAAGGTCCATGATAGTTTAAACATCAAGGAAAGTGACAAGAAATCAAATGTTGAATGGTTACTGGGTTTTGAATGACTTGAAGATCTGATACATCATTAGCCTTGTTATCATAACAAGCTAGAATGCTAGATATGTTAAGCAACATACAGATGGTTTGATGGTAACCTTTTGAGTGTAATAGAATATCTTTTGTCTATCCTTCTAGTGTCGATCTTACAACAACCGAAACAACAACTACTAGGACTACTGCTACAACGCCTCAATTCAAAACTAGTTGGTTTTCGCTACATGAAAATCCTCTATGTCAATTTTTCTGATATTTTTGTGTGTTAAGATTATTTCTTTAAAAAAACTGGAAACTATCAAGTCTCTTTGTGGCCTTTCCATATTTGCAGGCTTTCGTTACTTGGTAATTGGAAATGATGACTATGGTTGGCTTACTTTCAGGTATTAACAAGATGAATCTCAACAATGTTAAGGTTCCTAAGATGCCTGGCGGTGGTGCAGCTTCCGCTTTGATTAAGTTGGGAGTGGTGGCTGGTCTTGGTGTGTATGGAGTTGCTAACAGTCTCTACAATGTTGATGGTGGACATCGTGCAATCGTGTTCAATCGTATTATTGGTGTTAAAGATAAGGTAACTACTTTTCTTATCCTGTTGGGTGGACTTCTCTAGGAAATATTGGTGGTGTTAAAGAGAAAGTATATATTTGCTTTGTTGCATAGACTCTTGGACACACTTCATCGATGGATAAAATGTATTGACTTGACTAGAATAAGTCGCCCTCAAAATTTTGTGTATGTTTTGCATGTCGAGACCAAAATTTTATTCACATCCTCGTGGATCCGACGGCCTTCTGCAGTATTTAATTTCTTTTTCTAGTATGGTCTTTACTTTAGTACTTCCCTTGTTGATTATGTTTGGTGGATATAATTCATGAGGTTCAGCAGGTGAGATGTGCATAGTTCTTTTGCAGGGCAAAATGTTTCCACGTAATGCCAAGTTTCACAAAATAGAAGTATTACTCATGATGTTGATATTTCTTAAATTCTGTCATGTCCTGGCACATTGATATGTTTCGGATTTGCTGACTCTTTATATGTGTTTTGGAGTCTTTTACTTTGATTTTCTTGGATCTTGTTACTTCAATGTGGTTGTGGGAGACTTATGGCCTAGTGTATGGCCTTTACCTGTTTTTCCTCTGTTTATATGTGCCGGAGGTTTTATTGATAAGTGCACTAAATGTTTGATGAATAGGTTTATCCAGAAGGGACACATTTCATGATCCCTTGGTTTGAAAGGCCGGTCATTTATGATGTTCGTGCACGTCCTCATCTAGTGGAGAGCACTTCAGGAAGTCGTGACCTTCAGATGGTAATTTCTCTGAAACATGTGTTGCTCCATTTTACAAGATATTAAAGGAAAAAAAGAAGGGAAACATTTCGTCTTGACTTGTGAAGGGCAAACGTTGGTCATAGTCAACATTTTACTTAATGCTAGGAACAGTTTGTTCTCGTGGTTTTGGGAGAATAACAGGTTTAAATGAAAAATAATGTTCCAACTTATTTCACAGGTCAAAATTGGTCTTCGAGTTCTCACTCGTCCTGTTCCGGACCAACTACCCACTGTTTACCGAACACTTGGTGAGAACTACAATGAAAGGGTCCTCCCTTCCATTATTCATGAGACTTTGAAAGCTGTGGTTGCTCAGTACAACGCAAGCCAGCTCATCACCCAGAGAGAGGTATTTGCAAGAGGCCTTGCTTTACATTGTTAATGTTGCTCTTTGTCAAAGTAGTTATTGTGCTAGAGATACTTATCTAAAAAAGTTATTGTGCTAGAGATGGTAATACCTCCCATCTTTACTGTGTGAGTGATGGTTTGGAGGAAATGTTCAATTGTTAGATATACCACTTCTTCCTCTGGCACCTAACTGTAAATTATCTTCTTTGGCTTCCCCGGAAACTATTTGAAATCGTCTCCGTTTTGCTCAATCTTGTGTACTTTTTGCAGAATGTTAGTAGAGAAATACGCAAGATTTTGACAGAGAGAGCAGCTAACTTCAACATTGCGCTAGATGATGTGTCAATTACCAGTCTGACTTTTGGAAAGGAATTTACGGCCGCAATTGAAGCAAAACAGGTGGCTGCTCAAGAAGCTGAGAGGGCTAAGTTTGTTGTGGAAAAGGCTGAGCAAGACAAGCGAAGTGCTATAATTAGAGCTCAGGTAAAAATATTTCGAGAGCTTAACCTTGTTTAATTTAATCTCTAGTTTACTCCATGATACTGGCATTTTTCTATTGCTGGCTTGATGATGTTTTTCTTTTCGTGTGTTCTGCTTTGCCCTCGAATAAGAAAATTGAAGATGGTTTACCTGGACCATTATGAAACTAAATATTGAATTCTCTTTGTGCTGTTTCACAGGGTGAGGCTAAAAGTGCCCAGCTCATTGGTCAATCAATTGCCAACAATCCAGCATTTATCACGCTTAGGAAAATTGAAGCTGCAAGAGAAATTGCGCAAACTATGTCACATGCAGCCAACAAGTTGTACTTGAGCTCAGATGATCTGTTGCTCAATCTTCAGGACTTGAACTTGGATAGCGCTGGAAAAAGGTGAAATTTTGATACTACCAAATAAAACAGTTCCTGTTTCAACATTTCATGTTATTCCCCAAACGTGTTAAATTGTGGGGACGCTGCAACTTGTTTTTGCATAGTGACTGATCAAACTTCTCAGTTTCTTGGACTGAATAGGGACTCCTTTGTCTTAGGGACTTGGTGTCAAAGGAAAGCCCTTGTCCTGTTTTGGATGTTATTAAAACGTTTATTATGCACCAAAAGAAACAAACAGAATTATACCCGGTGTTTTCCTCTCATATCCTTTCTACTTGCACAAATTGAGCACATTTGATACCTTCCTACCCTTGCAGAGATAGATACATCTTTGGTTATTATCGTGGATTTAAATTTAGGATTAAGAAATTGTTGAAATATATGAAATAAATCCAAAATAGCATAAAACCCAAAATTAAAAATTAACCACGTAACAGGATAAGTAAACATAAACGTGTTCTTTTCTCAAGATGGTTTAGATTTGAGGACCTCAAGGAGTTTGGTGCGTTAATAAGGTCTAATCGTAATAAAGTTAGAGAATCATTAAATTCAGTGTCATGTACTACAATGGTGACCTCTTTCTAGACCTTAGCTATTTGCATATTTGTGTGGATACGATGAAGAATCTTGTACTTATTTAGGTCGGTAGCTAAAATTCTGATTGATTCGAGTGGTCCACTTGATCAAAATCTTCTTTAATTTTGTTTTCTCCTTTCTTTTTCCTTCAAAATTTTCCGATATAATTACTGCTAGTAAATACTGAATCGAACTCGTACTTAACTGTGACATTTGACATTCTCTTAACTCGTAATTTTTTAATGAAAAGGTTCATCTGTCAAACACATGATATATCAGCTTCTTTGTGGATATTCCAACTTGTTTTCTTTTGATTAATAAATCATTCTTCCTGTTCATGCTAAGGGAACTTAAAAATGAAAAAGAACTATCATAAACTATATTGTTTAAAATATAAGACACTAATTATGGGGCGACTTAAATTTGTGTGCACATCATAGGTTACTGCTTTTGGACCAGTTGATGGGCTTAATTCTCTTCCAAAATAATTTAGAATTAAAAAATGAAAATAGATTCTGAACCCTAAAACAGACCAAAAAAAGAGTAATATGCAAGGCACAGTATGCGTATCCAAAAAAGTGAGGACAAAACTTGCATGAACTTAAATTATATATTAGATAGTAAAAAAATAAATATCTCAAAAAGGTAAAACAAAGATGCACAATCACTATTATATGTATATAAGATTAATTTTTAATATATATATATATATATATATATATATATTAGGAGTAAATTACTAACTTTTTTGCATATTTAATTTCTTATTATGTGAATTTCGTGGATAAAAGTTCTGCCTCTGCTACTCTCCCTAAAGGAGAAAGGCTACGTCATGTATGCATCAAGTGACACGACAAACCAACAAAATGCAGAGACTGAAACCTAAATAATGGTATTTTGCACTCAAAATATTTTTATACAGTTGAAAAAAAATTATATTTCTAACTAAAATACAGTATTATACTGCGTTTTAGTTTAACGAAAAATTAGCCGTTAAAGAAAAACGTAGTATAATACTGCGTTTTAACTAATAAATCGTTTTTTTTAAATGTAAAACGCAGAACTTTGTATTATAATGCTTTTTACTCCATTATAATGCGTAAAAAGCAAATAGTTTCATCACGCATGTCAGAGATGGTTTGACATGGAAACCAGACTGAGACATACTTTATACTTTACATTAAATAAAGTGCCATTTTTAAGGGCTTCATTGAATTTGGAGAAGTAATAGCAATAAATTCTCCACTATATATTAATCCTAGTACTAAGTAGAAAAAGTACTACAGTTAAAAGGAAAGTCAACCACCGCGTTTTGTTATGAGTTACCGTGTTCCTGGCTCTTAACAAAACCCAACCTGATGATTATGACTAAACCTTCGTCTTTTTTTATAGAAGGCCACTTGATTTTATGTGGGGTTTAGTTTGTTTTTAATATTACTTACTCCTTCCATTCCTTTTTAACGGGTCGTTTGGTAGGATGCATTGGGTAAGCTAATGCATGTATTAACTTTGTATATTAATAATATATTGTTTGGTAGACATTTTGAACCTATGCATTAGTTATGCAAGCATTAGTTATACATCCAATTTGGTATTATCCTATGCATAACTAATGCATAGAAAACAATGCATTAGCTTAGTTAAAGACAAAATTGTCCTTCAAAATTTATGCTTGATTAAAATATGCTAGTTAGTATATTAATAAAAGTTCAAAATAATCCAAATAGTGAGAAATAAAATTATATCCCTAGTAAATAAATAAATACTTAACATATTTCTTTTTTTATAAATAAATATTTAATTTTATATTACAATATAGGTAGACAAATAAAATAATTTTTTAAAAACTTTTTCACATAAAAACATTTCTCAACATATGTTTCTTTTAAAAAGTTAGAGTGTGGATTAGTTTTGAGGGCATTTTTGTAAACAAACAATTCTTTTAGAAACTGTGCAATGCTTTAATACATCAAACCAAACGATGGATAAGAAATATGCAAGCATAACTAATACCAGCATTACTAATACACCTTATTCAGCATTATTCTTATGCACCCTACCAAACGGCCCCTAAGTGTTTTTAAGGTTTAGTCACGCTTATTAAGAAACGAAGTTAGTAATATTAATTATAAGGTATTTGATTAAATTATCTTTTATTTCTTCTTCCCTCCGTTTGACTATCGTGATAGCACCTAGTTTTAGGGACTAGGTAAGCCTAACTCATACTGGAATACAACAATAATAAATAAAATTTAACAGTCTCGAAGCAGAAATTTCTACAAAATTTATAATTCCCAAAATCCGGTAGTACAAGTCATAAGCTCTACAGAGTTTCGCTACAACTTCTAAACACAATCTTGTGGAAATAAGTACAACAGTGTGAATATAAAATAGGAAGGTGACTCCGAAGCCTGCGAAACGCAGCAACAGGGCTACCTTGAGTCTCCTCGGCAAGAATCTGCACAACTACTAGCGAACAATACATGGATCTGTACAAAAAAAATGTGCAGAAGTGTAGTATGAGGACACCACACCGGTGCCCAATAAATATCAAGACTAACCTCGGTGGAGTAGTGACGAGGAACAGTCAAGACACCTACTGGTCTAATAAACAGAACATAATATTTATATAGAGACTATGCAATACGGCTAATAATATAGTAATTGCAATAAGGAAAGAAAACAACAAGTACTCAGTGGAACACCATAAGGAAAATACGGAAAGGTAAGCGAGGATACAACCCAAATTCGAAATCACAAATACAGTAAAGACAAGTCATAACTCAACATCTCCGATAATTTTCACCTTAAGTCTTAACCAGCAAGCGTCAATCAAATAGTCAAACCTTTCAAGTGATAAAAAAAATATTTCGAAATATACTTCCTTCAAATAAATGTTCTTTTCAAAAGAGTTCTTTCAAAAATAAATGCTTTTTGAATATAATCTTTTCAAATAAATATCCATCGAATATAAGTCATCCTGTGACATTTCAAAATAGTTAATTAATAATAAGTACCTTCGAATATAATCTTTTCAAATAGATAACATTCGAATATAAGTCACCCTGTGACACTTCATCTCATAATCATACAATACGGGTCTCAATACCTAAACCCTAACACTTGGAATCCTATGCCCTCATCACGCCTCCTAATCACATTGACAACTCACGTTCCCAAAAGAGTCATTCTCACATGGAACACAAATAACAAGGGTGTGCGTCTATACTCAAAAGTCTCAAGGAGCCTCCTATCCAATAAGGGTGCTTGACCACATATATGCTTGTGCAAGTATCCTATCATAGTTCATACCAGCTAGTAAGAATAAGGACAAAAACGGACATCACATATACGGTTTACACACGAATAGGATAAATGAAAACAACAACTCAGAACACAGTGATTTTAACAGGGGATCTCCCAGGATATCATCTCGTACTCCCAAACGTAAATGTGCAGAGGATCTCCCGGGATATCGTTCCGTAGTCCAAATCATAAATATGTAGGGGAATCTCCCGAAATACCGATACGCAGCCCCAAAGTAAATATCCAATACAGGGGGATCTCCCGAGATATCGTCCCGTAGTCCCAATTATAAATATGCAGTGGGATCTCCCGGAATACTGATCCGTAGTCCCAAGGTAAACATGCAGGGGATCTCCCGGAATACTGATCCGTAGTCCCAAAGTAAACATGCATGGAGATCTCCCGGAATACTGATCCGTAATCCCAAAGTAAATACACAATAACAACAATGACAATAATACAAAGTACGACAAGTAAGTCAACTCAAGAACTATAAATCACGAAGAAACTGTAGGACCAGCTCACAAGGAATAACCACACAAAAAAATGTTGGCATAAAGGGAACATTTCAACAAAAGGGAAATCTAACATGTAGCAACGATCCCGCAACATACAAGTCAATAACAAGGAAATCAAAATGAGTTAAGTAGTCCCAAATAAAAGCAAGTCAACAAAGGTATATGTTATCTAACTCCTTTTAAGGTTGAACAAATATAAGGATATCTGACAATTCAATTATGGAAAGATGATCTTAGCTTCACTTAAGACTAAACAATTATATGAGGGGATGATGATAAATTTCCAATTAAGACAAGCAACTATGAAAAGATAGCATGACAATAGGAGAAGCGAAATTCTTCAGTTAAGTCAAATAGGAGTCGATTAGGCAATAACAATGAATCATGAAGTAATTAATTCCAATTAAGCATATAGAGGTGAAACTAGTAAATAGGAAACTGATTCATGTCAAGAACACATTCATACATAGTGAATATAAAGATCTAAGAACCCTAAAGGCCAATTTTCCACAAAATAAGTCCGAGCACGCACTCGTCACCTCGCGTACACAAACTACAATCAACATAGATGACTCAAATCCTAAGGGAAAGTCCCCCACAGAAGGTTAGCCAAGATACTTACCTTGACTTGCTCCAATTTAATCCACTAGTAGGCCTTTTTTCTCGATTATCCAATTATGAATGGCTCGAATCTAGCCAAAATAATTCGATACAGTCAACAAAATTTATAGATCAATATCATAAGAAAATACAACATTTTTCAATAAAAACCCGAAATTAACTCAAAATTCACCCATGGGGCCCACGTCTCAGAATCCGACGAAAGTCATAGAATATGAAAGCTCATCCATTCACGAGTCTAA